TTTGAATATTACATGTTAATAACTTGATTGGAATTATAACCTTGAGTTGACAGTTTGATACTTTGAAAATTTTGAGCCAGCCCTACCCCCAAGGGCTGTAGGGTGGGGCTCAAGGGAGTCAGTGTGCTAAAATTTCTTCATTTTCCTTGTTTAGAATCAGAGGTGCTAGTTTCAAATCCTTTTTAGTCTGAAATCTGTATGCTTGATATTGAATAAGGTGGTTTTATTGTTTTTTGTCACTTTGAATAATATTTCTGTTCATGTTAAAAACGAAATCAACTCTCTGTATAAATATATCAGGTGACCGTTAAGGCCCATGGGCCTCTTGTTTAATTCTATTATAATTTGATATTTTGGGCGCATGGTTCTTTAAATAAAACGGAAATACCATCAGGGTTACATAGGCCCTTGAACCGGCGTAACTGTACCCTGAAATACTTTAGAGTCAAACACCCTAGGATTATGATTAAATTTCTTCTCCAAGCTAGCATTAGTTTTGACAAATAGACTTTTGAATATGATAAACAAATAAATAGTGTCGCACGGCATGTAAATCAGGAAAGTTTTGTTTTGGGCATTGTTCTTACCTTTAAGTTTACCGTTAAATTGACATAAAAGTATTATCAAATGAAAACTGTATGCATAAAAGTACTTCTTTGCATTGAATGACAGTTTCTTGGGCCACCGTTTTCCCATAGGTATCCCATTTTGGGTACTGTCCTGATTTGGGTACATGCAGTGACGGTTAAGTTAAATTATCATAGTCTGAAATATTGGAGTTACAGGAGAAACATTTGTAACAATACAAACACTGACTTTATTATATTACTGTGTTTTGTGTGTGTTTCAGATTTTCTGTAGGAACTACTACCAACCTGATGCCAGTATGTTCCCCAGTGAACCTCAACATTTGGATGATCTCGCCAGAAACGTCACGGTAACTAATATAAACCAGCTATTTATGAATTTCTATATCATATTCCATCATGACTTGTTGAAATGTAAAAGGACGAAATAACATTGGTTTAAGCCTGTACATTTAATGGGTTGTAGGACTTCATGACAGTGGTGGCACCGCTCATCAGTCTAGAGAAACAGATGAAGAATATAGTGTCCTGTATGACAACCGTGTTGTCAGCGTCCACCCTCCCAGTCAGTGTGAGTATTGGTTACCATGGAAACATGCTCACCCTCCTAGTCAGTGTGAGTCTTGGTTACCATGGAAACATGCTCACCCTCCCAGTCAGTGTGAGTATTGGTTACCATAGAAACATCTCAACCTTCTCAGTCGGTATGAGTATTGGTTACCATGGAAACATGTCACCCCTCCCAGTCAGTGTGAGTATTGGTTACCATGGAACCATGTCAACCCTCCCAGTCAGTGTGAGTATTGGTTTCCATGGAAACATGTCAACCCTCCCAGTCAGTGTGAGAATTGGTTACCATGGAAACATGTTCACCCTCCCAGTCAGTGTGAGTATTGGTTACCATGGAACCATGTCAACCCTCCCAGTTAGTGTGAGTATTGGGTACCATAGAAACATCTCAACCTTCTCAGTCGGTATGAGTATTGGTTACCATGGAAACATGTCAACCCTCCCAGCCAGTGTGAGTATTGGTTACCATGGAAACATGTCAGCCCTCCCAGTCAGTGTGAGTATTGGTTACCATGGAAACGTGTCAACCCTCCCAGTCAGTGTGAGTATTGGTTTCCATGGAAACATGTCAACCCTCCCAGTCAGTGTGAGAATTGGTTACCATGGAAACATGTTCACCCTCCCAGTCAGTGTGAGTATTGGTTACCATAGAAACATCTCAACCTTCTCAGTCGGTATGAGTATTGGTTACCATGGAAACATGTCACCCCTCCCAGTCAGTGTGAGTATTGGTTACCATGGAACCATGTCAACCCTCCCAGTCAGTGTGAGTATTGGTTTCCATGGAAACATGTCAACCCTCCCAGTCAGTGTGAGTATTGGTTTCCATGGAAACATGTCAACCCTCCCAGTCAGTGTGAGAATTGGTTACCATGGAAACATGTTCACCCTCCCAGTCAGTGTGAGTAGTGGTTACCATGGAAACATGTCAACCCTCCCAGCCAGTGTGAGTATTGGTTACCATGGAAACATGTCAACCCTCCCAGCCAGTGTGAGTATTGGTTACCATGGAAACATGTCCGCCCTCCCAGTCAGTGTGAGTATTGGTTACCATGGAAACGTGTCAACCCTCCCAGTCAGTGTGAGTATTGGTTACCATGGAAACATGTCAACCCTCCCAGTTAGTGTGAGTATTGGTTACCATAGAAACATCTCAACCTTCTCAGTCGGTATGAGTATTGGTTACCATGGAAACATGTCAACCCTCCCAGTCAGTTTGAGTATTGGTTACCATGGAAACATGTCCACCCTCCCAGTCAGTTTGAGTATTGGTTACCATGGAAACATGTCAACCCTCCCAGTCAGTGCGAGCATTGGGTACCATGGAAACATGTCCACCTTTAGAGTCAATGTGAGTTTTGGTTACCATGGAAACAGCTTCTGTTGGAGTATACACACAACATCTCCAGCACATACGCAGGCATACACACATAGGCAGATATTAGCCAGGTGGCATCGGACTAGTTAGTGAGTGCCTGATAAGGCAGCTCCTGCAAATTCCTCAAAATTATATTGATTTATGTATATGCTAATTGTATTAATTGCATATGTATGTATTGTAAAGCACTTTAGAATGGTTTATGTTAGCTAGATAGCGTGCTATATCAAATGCTGTATATTATTGGATGCTGTGTACAGATCTTTAAATGCTGTGTTGATTATTTCATGGTATGATTAATGCTATAAAATGATGAAATACATTGAAAACGATCAATAAATCAAAGAAAAATTTTAAAATTTTAAGAAAAGGCGATATTTTTCAGTGAGCATCCAGAACTATATCAATCTCAGATTACTACGCTTTATGGACCGAATAAGTTCTTCACAAAAAAAAACCCCAACACTTTATCTCCTTCCGCGAAAGATCTTTAGATAATGTGTTCATTATTTCATGATATGACATGATATGATATTAACTTTCCCATAATCTTATGGGACAATTTTGGTTTGCAGGGTTGTCTGGTCAAGGTCACTGTTACTATTTTTAAAAAGGTCATTGTCTGCGCTGTAGCAGTTTCATTCCTTGAAGGATTTCCATCGATTTGAAACACTAATTAAGGACCATAATATCAGACAAGTTTAATTGTTTTAGCAATACTCTGCTGGTTATATATATTTATATCGAAAATTATGAATAAGGGATGGGCTATTATGACCCTTACTCAACAACATGTTCTTTATTATTTACTGCCATTCTGTACTGATATACCACCTCCTTTATTCCATTATTTGAATACTCCATACACAGTATCTCTGAGTGTCCTCGGCACTTTGATTATATGTTGCCATGGAAACACATTTTGTTACAGGATGTGGTATCATGGAAACACTTCTTGTCAGAGAAGCTGTTATTGGTGTTATTGGATAAAGCAGGAAAGAGTTATGATACTGTAGGGGTTTTATAGTAAATATGTGCTGGGTCACCAAGAAATGTAACGGCTCAAAATGTGTTGCGATGTTTTGGATGGTATGATAAATCTGATTTGTTGTGTGACCAGGACATGGAGGAATTCCAGGAGCAGTATGGAGGCAAGATCCAGCAGGATGTCCGCAGTGACGCTCGTAAGGTAAGTACCTCAACAAATCTGACAAACGTCTCGGTGATGCTCGAAGGGGAAGGACGTCGAGCAATCTGACAACCTCTTTATATAGTGACGCTGGTATTTTGTAGTGATGCTTGTAAGTTAAGCCAGTTACACCACAGGTTTTTGATAGCAATTAAGATAATGGGGTTTCCAGGTCTAAAAAAAGAAATTTATGGTAAGAATTGATGAAAACCCTCAGGATAAGTACCACTTTCAAGTCTTCAGCAGAAGTTGTGTATGTAGGATACAAACTTGTGATAGAAATCTCATGTACACTCCATTAAAATTAAACTTTTGTACTGAAATTAAGAAGAAAAAACAAGATTGTCTCCCTTTCAGATGTACGAGGATTTCTATGAAACGGAAGAAGACATCAATTTACAACTGAATGTTTTTGCTGTCAACATGAAGGTGGCCTACGGTGGTATCAATACTGTTGAGGTACAACTAGGTCATGGATCTCCAGATGTAGGTAAGAAACTACAGTGGTATCAATACTGTTGTGTACAGCTAGGTCATGGATCTCCAGATGTAGGTAAGAAACTACAGTGGTATCAATACTGTTGTGTACAGCTAGGTCATTGATCTCCAGATGTAGGTAAGAAACTACAGTGGTATCAATACTGTTGTGTACAGCTAGGTCATTGATCTCCAGATGTAGGTAAGAAACTACAGTGGTATCAATACTGTTGTGTACAGCTAGGTCATTGATCTCCAGATGTAGGTAAGAAACTACAGTGGTATCAATACTGTTGTGTACAGCTAGGTCATGGATATCCAGATGTAGGTAAGAAACTACGGTGGTATCAATACTGTTGAGGTACTATATAATATTATGTCAGACATGTTCTTTTGCCATCTAAACTGACTTTCTATTTGATATGATCGTGATATATGTGTTGACATTTTTCAAGATAAATTTTGATAGCCTAGGAAATATTTTGATAATTAACTATTGTCTTCTGTAGAATACTCAGAACTTGGTGGTGATGAAGAGTTGCCATTAGGAGCAGAATTCCAGGATCATCTCGCCTGCCTAATAGATAAACGCCAGAAAAAAACTGTTGATAGATACGCCATGGCAGAAAAACTGGTCAAACAGTTGGAGTAAGTGTATTTCTTCTCCTATTAAAAAATATTAATCCTTAAGAATGAATGACTATTTCACTCTTCCTTGAGTTTAAATTTGCAGCCAAGAAAAAACTATAGTATCAAAATGAAAGACAAGTTCTTTAGTTCTATTATAAATATGCTCACATGATCGTCTCAATTAAGAAACCACATTTTGGACTTCCGAGGGTCTTTTTTAGCCCACCATCATCTGATGGTGGGCTATTCAAATCACCCTGCGTCCGTGGTCCGTCCGTGGTCCGTCCGTCGTCCCTCCGTAAACAATTCTTGTTATCAGTATTTCTCAAGAAGTACCAGAGGGATCTTTCTCAAATTTTATATGCAGGTTCCGCTTGGTCCTTAGCTGTGCAGGGCAATTTTTGAGACTGATCAGATAAACAACATGGCCGACAGGCAGCCATCTTGGATTTTGATAGTGAAAGTTTGTTATCGCTATTTCTCAAGAAGTACCAGAGGGATCTTTCTCAAATTTTATATGTAGGTTCCCCTTGGTCCTTAGCTGTGCAGGGCAACTTTTGAGACTGATCGGATAAACAACATGGCCGACAGGCAGCCATCTTGGATTTTGATAGTGAAAGTTTGTTATCGCTATTTCTCAAGAAGTATCAGAGGGATCTTTCTTTCTCAAATTTTATATGTAGGTTCCTCTTGGTCCTGAGCTGTGCAGGGCAACTTTTGAGACTGATCGGATGAACAACATGGCCGACAGGCAGCCATCATGATTTTGATATTGAAAGTTTGTTATTGCTATTTCTCACGAAGTACCAAAGGGATCTTTCTCAAATTTTATATGTAGGTTCCCCTTGGTCCTAAGCTGTGTAGGGCAACTTTTGAGACTGATTGGATAAACAACATGGCAGACAGGCAGCCATCTTGGATTTTGATATTGAAAGTTTGTTATCGCTATTTCTCAGGAAGTATCAGAGGGATCTTTCTCAAATTTTATATGTAGGTTCCCCTTGGTCCTAGCTGTGCAGGGCAATTTTAGAGACTGATCGGATAAACAACATGGCCGACAGGCAGCCATCTTGGATTTTGATAGTGAAAGTTTGTTATCGCTATTTCTCGGGAAGTACGGGAGGGATCTTTCTCAAATTTTAAATGTAGGTTCCCCTTGATCCCTCGTTGTGTATGTTATATTTTGAGACTGATCATAAAAACAAAATGGATTAAAAGAAGAACTAAACAGATCTTTCTCATATTGCAATGATCGATTCTATTTCTTTCACATTAAGTACTGTACTAGTAAATATGTGAAATGACAAACTCACTTTGAAGGTTGGCTTTCATACACATCAGTATTAAGTTTAGATCAAAAGTTACCTCAAGGTGCATTTACTGTTAACATGACTCAATCAAACAGATTAGAGGAAAGAAGAGAAAAGATCGAACTGACAAAGAACTAATGAAGATGGTACAAAGGTGGGCGCCAAGATCCCTCTGGGATCTCTTGTTAATATAAGCTTGACTGAATTAGAGACTAATATGTGATCCCTTTCCGATGATTTCAGCTGTATACCTATTTATATAGTTAACTGACATGTTATCATTGCATCACTTCAGGATATCGGCGAATTTGACTCACCTTAACGAGAAGCAAAAGCTGGAACAGGTCGAACTGGATGTAAAATGTCTACAGCTGCTCAGGGGACTCATACACAATGAGATGATAAGTCTTCCTGAGGACTGGGAGGGGCAGTCACAGACCCATAAACGGTAAGATGTTGGGGTCACAGGTCAATAGACGGTAAGATGTTGGGGTAACAGGTGGTAATATGTTGGGGTAACAGGTCCATAAATGGTAAGATGTTGGGGTAACAGGCCCATAAATGGTAAGATGTTGGGGTTATAGGTGGTAATATGTTGGGGTAACAGACCCTTAAATGGTAAGATGTTGGAGTAACAGGCCCATAGATGGTAAGATGTTGGGATTACAGGTCCATAGAGGTAAGATGTGAGGGTAACAGGTGGTAAGATGTTGGGATTGCAGGTGGTAAGATGTTGGGGTAACAGGCCCATAAATGGTAAGATGTTGTTGTAACATTTGGTAAGAGGAAGGGGTAACAGGTCCATAGAGGTAAGATGTGAGGGTAACAGGTCCATTGACATTAAGATGTTGGGGTATCACGCCCATAGACATTAAGATGTTGGGGTAACACGCCCATAGACATTAAGATGTTGGGATAACATGCCCATAGACATTAAGATATTAGGGTAACATGTCTTGAGACGGTTAAATGTGGGGGTTACAGGTCCATAGATGGTTGAGTTAGGTGTATTTTTGAATTAAAAAAGAAGAAAATATGTTGAGGATGCAATGAAACAATGGACATGCAAAGCTAAGATGGGAAATGATGAAGATTCCTAGTGTTACTTGAGTAGTACCATTAGTGACATTATCAGTTCATGCAGTCAAAAACAGGCATTCATGTTCTGAAAATTATATTGTGTAGGCTTGTTTTTGTATTAAGTGTACAGGCAGCTGTAGTGTTTGTTGATCATTGTGTTGCAGACAGCTTAGGGTGATAGAGGAGGTCCAGAATGCCCTCAACACGTATGGTGCAGTGACCAGTGTCCTCGAGCACTTGTCTCGTCCTCAAGACAATGTCGTGAGGGAGGTCCTCAGTTTCCTTGCTGCACTCCTCTTTAATGGCAATGATGAAGTCCAGGTATACATATACAGCTCTGTCATCTACATACATACAATCAAGCTTTCAATCAAACACTTAACTATAGAATGTCTCGTAATATTTCATGACCTGTATTTCTGTGTGTCTTCAGTATAATTCCTAATATAACTAGAAATTGTTGGCTAACAATGTGACGGGCTTTTCACTGTAAGGGTTACTTCCCTTACACCAGTAGTAAAAGTCCTGGTATCTGGTAAAATTACATGTTCGAATTTGACCTCTATCAAAAACCGGAAGTTGATCTTTAATGGTTATTTATTTCCATTAACCATGTAGCCCATCATCCTAGCATGCTACAGACCAAATATCAATACCCTGGCCATTTCCGTTATTGAGAAGGAGTCTTTTGAAGATTTTAACATAATTGACCCCAGTGACATTGAACATTGGTCAAGGTCATTCATATTTTCAAACTTGATAGCCAATTACCTGACCATGTTATGTATGAAATAGTAGGGCTCTAGACCTTGTGGAACTTAAGAAGAAGATTTTTTAAGGTTGGTACCCAATATAGTGCATTTTAACTTTGACCCCTGCCGAGAATCGGAAGTTGACATTTTTTGTTAAAACAGTATGAAAGAAAAAGTTTGCTCTTGGCTATCTCTATATGATATTCAAAGATCAACCTCGTGTTTGATATCGATAACGAAATATATTGGTATAGGCTGTTAACCAATCAGAGTTCGTGGCGGCCATCTTGGAATATTAATGGCTCCAAAATGTAACATAAGTTCGTAAGGGCCCCTATAGGAATACATGTACCAATTGTGGTTAATATTGCAATGGCAGAATTGGAGAAGAAAATCGTTGAAGTTTTAACATATTGTCAGCATTTTAAAAGATCAAAGGAAATATTCAAAATGGCGTACAACGTTAACGGTAAATGTTACAGAAAAACTAAAGACATCGAATTCATCGGAATGACATTCTCCATCGATCTATTGAAGAATTCTGTAAAAAAAATGAAAAATGAATATTTTTTAAAAATTGTGACCTTTGACCCAACAGCGAACTTTTTCATTTGACCTTTTAAGTAATAATATACGGTAGAAAAAAGTTAGCCCTGAACTTTATCTACAAATGATGTCTTAAAGGCTGTAAATTCAACTGTGTTTGAGTTATAGCCATTTTAAGATTTTTAAGGTATGACGTCATGGCGGCCATTTTAATTTTTCAATGAAGTTGATTTTTTTTTAAATGTTAGAAAACATCTGGGGAAACCTTTTTCATAACAAATAAATCAAATATTTGTCATTGATATTGGAGTAAAACAAGTTTTAAAATATTGCGAATTTTTTAAAAGATCAAAGGAAATATTCAAAATGGCTTAAAACGTTAACGGTTAACGTTACAGAAACACTAAAGACATCAAATTCATCGGAAGGACATCCTCCATCGATCTGTAGAAGTATTTTTCCAAAACAATGAAAAATGAATGTTTTTTAAAAATTATGACCTTTGACCCAACAGCGAGCTTTTTTATTTGACCTTTAAATGAAAAACCATGTGGTAATTAAAGTTAGCCCCTAAGATAATCTACATATTATATAATTGCCTCAATTCTGTAAATTAAACCGTTTTTGAGTTATGGCCATTATTAGATTTTGACCTATGACGTCATGGCGGCCATATTTAATTTTTGACCTTCTTCAAAATGTTGCTTGATCAGCTTTAGACCTTTTCCTACAACATACTTAAAAGACTATAAATCTCTCGTTTACCAATCAAAAGAAACAGAGTTCACAAAATACGGAAGAAGAATAATAAGAATAAGAATAATAAGAATAATAAGAAACTTAACAAAAGCAATAGGTCTTTTCACCAGTTGGTGAAAAGCCCTAATAAAAATTATCAGTAGTTTGTTGAGACCAGGTGATCAGTAGCTTGAGACCTATTCTGATGTTTATTATCTCTAACTGTTATGAACTATGATCCAGTAATTATATCACTATTTTATCCTGGCTGCATTTATTTGAACCATTTTTGTGAGCTATGCCGCTTTTCTTATTCCTGTTCACAGCTTTATGGAACCCTTCGTAACGTTAGAGGGGTGGATGTGTAAGGTCATTCTTTTTAGAGATTGAATAGTTTGTCACTTGTTCGAGTCATTCAGACTGTCAAAACTGTCACTTAATTTGGGCCCCGTATCGGAGATACGGGTGCCCTATAGTAATCACTCTATCTGTCTGTCTGTCTGTCTGTCTGTCCACAAATTCTGTTCCTGGCTGATAACTTTGGTATTTATTGACCGATGTACATGCAACTTGGTCAACATGTGCAGTTAACAAAAATACACATTAAGGTAAAAAGTCAAGGTCAAAGGTCAAGGTCATTAGGTTCAAAGGTCAAGATCAAATTTTACATCTTTTCACTGATGAACATTTTGTTATGACATTATGAAGCAAAGTTGATCAGAATTAAACAAGGAGTCAACTGATCAAAGTTCAAGGTCATCGGGTCATGTGTCAAGGTCAAATTTTGTAGCTTTTTACCGGTGAACATTTCACTATGACATTATGAAGCAAAGTTGTTCGGAATTAACCAAAGAGACACACTGAGGTAAAAAGTTGATGTCAAAGGTCAAGGTTAAATTTTGTACCTTTTCCCTGATGAACATTTTGTTATGACATTATGAAGCAATGTTGTTCAGAACTTAACACAGAGTCAACTGACCTTAGGTCCAGGTTACAGGGTCCAAAGGGTCCATGTCAAGTTTGTTATTTTTCACTGATGAACATTTTGTTTTGATATCAAGAAGCAAATTTGGTCGGAATTAAAGAATAAGTCAACTGACCAAAGTTCAGGGTCACTGGGTTAATGGTCAAGGTCATTTGGGTCCAAAGATCAAAGACAAAGTGGATCTCTGACTTTGACCCTGGCTCTTGATGGAGGAGGTATATAAGGTGTAATAAAACAAATCAAAGCTAACAAATGAGTATTGCACCGGTATTTAAATTTCTGTTAGCCCAGCAAATATGGAGGTGGAAGGAAACAAGACTCACATCATAGTACATGTAAAATGTATATTTTGCTTCCTTTCGATTCTTTTTGAAGTCCAAATGTCAAACGTCAAGCTCAGCTATATGGGCAGATTGCTTCTTGATGATTATGGGGGATATATTGCCACAAGACGGGGCCCTTACTGACCTGTCAGTGTTCTAGTTGGGCTACTGAGAGGGTGCCACTACTGCAATACAATGAGGATGCTTGATGTATTGTTTGTTTTTACAGTTTTGTTTCGATTCCAGGCAAGTCTGATCTCGTTCTTCACTGGAACAAGAGAGGAAACATTCTTCTTTTCCATCAAAGGGCGAATGAACATGTCAGCCATCGCCACCAGGGAGAAGTAAGCTAGGCGTTCTGAAGTGTATACACTAGATTAATCTTAACTGACAAACAGATGAATACATAATTCTGTGATTGAAAAAATGTACTTATCAAATAAAGGCAAATAATCATCCCGAGATCTGACTAAAGACAACGAGATTCTTGTACTAGAAAATGTGGAGTGCAGGGTCAGTATTCATTAAACCATTCTTGTGCTAGAGCTCACGATTTCTGTGCTCAAGCCACCTTTCTTGTAAGCTGATTTAATCATGTGACGTGGTCAAAATGTCAAGTGTAAACACTTACAACAGTTTTCAGCTTAGAGTCAAAACGTCTTACATATCATTGACAGAATTAGGTTGTTATAATAGTTTGTAACTGGCTTGAGCACAGAACCTAAAAAAAATAAAAAAGAGCATAAAAAATAGTTTCATAAGAGAGCAACAATGAGAAGGATTGCTTTATTGAGGAAGTTGTGCATGTGTTTATATAGTCCTTTACATTTCAGGTTTAAATTTTAGTTTTACAGTATGTGTTCATGTAAGTTCAATTACTAGATAAAATACTGATGTGTGCTTTATTTTTGCTAAGGCGACTATTACAAGCCATGCACACAGCCAAGATGGACGAAGCTATCCAGCAGGCGAAGGCTCTGAAAAAAGCCATGCAGACAGGACACATGGCTACAATGGTAGTTACAAATCTTCAATCTGGAGATACAAGGCACTTAATCATAACTTTGCCATGCAGATTACTATACATTTGTTAAATTTTGTTAGTTTGAAAATCCAGGAATATTATTTGACAAGTTTGAAGTTTTGAAACCAAAATTGTAAATAAAAGTTAAATGGTAAATTCATGTTTTAAAGTTCCATGAAATTCCATTCAGGGTCAGTGCTGTGTTTTATTAGCTGTATATTCTCTGTTCCATCAGGAAATCATGAAGGCTAACCAGATGAACTCCATGCTGTCCATGGCTAAACGGTCAATGGCTAATCTACAGATTGGCTCTAGAATGGTAGGACCATCAACACTCTTCTGTCACTGCTGTTTTGTACTGTCAAGATTTACATTATTTTCATTGCAAAGGCAAACAAACGCATGTAAATGTGTTTTAAGGTCCTTGTCATTTAGTACAAACCTGTTAATACACACTTTGTTACTTGCCATGCTGAAATAATATATACCGAAATATGTTCACAGAAGTTTAGCATTCGCCTTTTTCACTCTCCCTAACAAGGATGTATTAATTACAACAGCTTATATTAATTTACAGCATAATCTACATAGTGATTACATGTGAAGGGTGAACTTAACACTAGCCAAATACATATTTTACAAATGTTTACAATCTCCTGTTAATTAGTATTGCTATTTCCTCTACTGAAGTTTGAATTTTGTACCCACAGAGACTTGGAGGATCACGACGATCCGTAGTAGGTGGCTCACGAAGGTTGGGCAGTCGTAGTCTGAAACCTGGAACCAGCTCACATAGTCCGAGGAGTAACAACATGCTGATGCCACCTAACGGTGTTGCCGGCCAGCAGGGCTCCGTCATGATTGGAAATAAGAACACCAAGGTCGCTCCCATAGTGAACCCTGAAATTCAGGTCGAGGTAGATAACAAGATTTCTCATATCTCGGGGTATATGCTAAGATTAAGAAGTGGGGGGGGACTAGAAGGAAGTAGGTCATTGGTCATGGACTCATCTAAAGATGACCTTGAAAGTTAAGTTGAGGTAGGCCATAGAGGTCAAGCGATAAAAAAGTGTATGGTTAAATATGTCAAGGGCATAGATCAACGATGGTGCAGTAGATTGATCTTTGATCAGACAAGCAGTATTTTAATTGTTTGTTAAATGCCAAACATAGCTGACACCAGTACCTTGAAATATGTAACATTACAGTAACTGTCTTTTTTACACGCAATTGTAAATACATTAAAAATATATATAATGGCTATAATTTATTGCTGTAGACTTGTGTAACTTCTCAAATTTTAGAAGGGCCCGATTACTGTATAACGAAAATGTTCACTGCAGTTTGATTTTCAACATTTTTGCCCTCTGCAAATTTATCAAGACAGGTAGTATTATTACACGGTTTACTCTATAGGGATTGCATGTGAAGAACAAAATTTACGCTTGGAGAAAAATCATTTTACCAGAAAACGGCAATTGTTTGACTGGCTGAACGATCCTGTTATACAAAATTTAGTGTGCAGAACATCATGTCTATTTCAATAGGAATCATTGCATGATATAATTTTGTTTTATGATTTTTTTTTCACAGAGAAAGGTAAGAGAGTACGGCACAACTGAATAGTACTGTAGTAGTTTTAAATACAGTTAAAGCACGAACAATTTACAGGAATTAACTCCCACTTCTTCAATTGAATACAGAATCTGATGAATATGTCAATTGCTTGATAATGTTTATCAGCACACAGGTATAAGAACAACATTAGATAAATAAAAAGAATATATATATTTGGTATCCAACTTTCACTTGAATTTAAACTGATGTCATTGATGAGACATGGAATAATTATTTTTTCCAATATTTTCTTCTTCCAACCATTTTACACGCACATATGTTGATTATTTTGTAGATGTTGCAGACATCTGTTTTTGTCCCCTGTATGTGTCTTGTCCTGTTGTTATATAGATAAATGTTAAGTATGAGAAATGAGGGTAGTTTTTGTTAGCTCACCTGCCCGAAGGGTAAGTGAGCTTATGTCGTGGTGCGGTTATGTCGTGGTGCGGCGTCCGTCCGTCAACTTTTCCTTTAAACAACTTCTACTGAAGAACGGACAGGCCTAGAGTCATAATATTTGGCTGAAAGCTTTGTTGGTAGGAGCCCAACAATGTTTGAGAATGAAAATGACCTTTACCTACTTTCAAGGTCACAGGGGTCAAATATGTCAAAAACTTCAAACAACTTCTTCTGAAGAACTAATAGGTATAGAATCTTAATATATTTGGTTGATGGCTTCCTGGGATGGAGTCCAACAAAGTGTGAGAATGAAAATTAGTTTGACCTACTTTCAAGGTCACAGGGGTCAAATATGTTAAATGCTTCAAACGACTTCTTTTGAAGAACTTAAAAGTATAGAATCTTTATATTTGATAGATGGCTTCCTGGGATAGAGCCCGATAAATTTTAGAACAAAAATGACCTTGACTTTCCTTCAAAGTCACAAGGGTCAAATGTGTCAAACACTTCAAACGACTTCTTCTGAAGAACTGAAAGGTATATAATCTTTGTATTTGGCTGGTGGCTTCCTGGGATAGAGCCCGACAAAGTTTGAAAATTACCTTGACCTACTTTCAAGGTCACAGGAGTCAGATATGTCTAATGCTTAAAACGACTTCTTCTGAAGAACTGAAAGTTATAGAAACTAAATATTAGGCTGGTAGCTTCCTGGGAAAGAGCCCAACAAAGTTTGAGAATGAAAATGACCTTGACCTACTTTCAATGTCATATGAGTCCGATATGTCAAACACTTCAAACGACTTCTTCTGAAGAACTGGAAGGTATAGAACCTTAATATTTAGCTGGTTATTTCCTGGGAAAGCCCAACAAAGCTTGCGAATGAAAATGACCTTGACTTCATTTCAAGGGCACAGCATTGAAATATGTCAAAATTATAATATTTAGCTGGTAACTTCCTGGGATAGAGGTCAGAGAGGTCAACAACATTTTAAAGGATTTGTTCTTAAGAACTAAAAGGAATGGATTCATGAGCTTTGGCTGGTAGCTTTTTTGGAATAGAGCTAACCAATTTGAGAAGGAAAATGACATTGACCTAGCTACTTACAAGGTCACAGGGGAAAATATGTCAAGCTACTTCTGAAGAAGAATAAAAAACATAGAATCTTAAAATAATATTGTGCTGGTATATATAGTTTCAACAGATGAAGCCGACAAAGTTTGCGAGGGATATAATTTTAGTGCAATATAATATTTAATGAAAATATTTTGCTATGACTGCTTAAATATTCAGTTGAGCAATACAGGCCCTCAGGGCCTCTTGTTTTCATATATCAGCACTTTGTAGACGATTGAGTGTATGACTAAAGGTATGTAGACGATTGAGTGTATGACTAAAGGTATGACCCTCTTGAAATAAAGAATTTAGATTAATATATCAATAATATATTTTATTTTTTTATTTTCACTTATAGTTCATGATAGATACGACAAGATACTAGTTTTATACTTCATTATAAGTTATATTTTATTATGAAATAATTGTCTATAGCATTTCTCTGCACTATTTCTGATATGCAGTTTATTTCTCTCCCACAGAATGTAGAAGATGAGGAGTTGGAAGAACTGATGCAGCATGCGTACGACATGACTGCCGACCTTGATTTCCATGACGATGGCTACATTGAGTTGGTGCTGAGAATTCTGGGCCTTATGTGTGACAACCAATATAGTGGACTTCAGGATTATCTACGGGAGCAGCCCGACAACATCAAGTCTGTAAACCTGGTAGCCGAGACGACTCGCTTCCTCAACATCTTGTATTCCAACATTAATGATCGGTCTATGGCCCTCATTGTCCAGCTGTTTGACACCCTCGTGGAGTTCACCTCCGTAAGTTATCATATCACACATTTGCTATTTCATGTTCTTTTATGTAAATTCACAACACACTGGGCCTACATGAATCCATCAAGGTCGCATTGTATTCATTATGCTGAATGTGATGGGTTTGTTTCCATTGATTGTGTCACCATTTACTTAACTAGCTAAATGTGTTGTTCTATAGATACTTGACTAAATAAATGTGTCGTTCTATAGATACTTGACTATCAAAATGTTCTATAGATACTTAACTATCTAAATGTGTCGTTCTATAGATACTTGACTAAATAAATGTGTCGTTCTATAGATACTTGACTATCTAAATGTGTCGTTCTATAGATACTTGGCTATCTAAATGTGTCGTTCTGTTGATACTTGGCTATCTAAATGTGTTGTTCTATAGATACTTAACTATCTAAATGTGTCATTCTATAGATACTTGACTATCAAAATGTGTCGTTCTATAGATACTTGGCTATCTAAATGTGTCGTTCTATAGATACTTGACTATCTAAATGTGTCGTTCTATAGAAACTTGGCTATCTAAATGTGTCGTTCTATAGATACTTGGCTATCTAAATGTGTCGTTCTGTAGATACTTGGCTATCTATATGTGTCGTTCTATAGATACTTGACTATCTAAATGTGTCGTTCTATAGAAACTTAGCTATCTAAATGTGTCGTTCTATAGATGCTTGGCTATCTAAATGTGTCGTTCTGTAGATACTTGGCTGTCGATATGTGTCGTTCTATAGATACTTGGCTATCTAAATGTGGCGTTCTGTAGATACTTGGCTGTCTATATGGGTCGTTCTATAGATACTTGACTATCTAAATGTGTCGTTCTGTAGATACTTGGCTGTCGATATGTGTCGTTCTATAGATACTTGACTAAATAAATGTGTCATTCTATAGATACTTGACTATCAAAATGTGTCGTTCTATAGATACTAGGGTATCTAAATGTGACGTTCTATAGATTCTTGACTATCTAGATATGTCGTTCTATAGATACTTAACTATCTAAATGTGTGGTGCTATAGATACTTGACTAAATAAATGTGTCATTCTATAGATACTTGGCTATCTAAATGTGTCGTTCTATAGATACTTAGCTATCTAAATGTGTCGTTCTATAGATACTAGGCTATCTAAATGTGACGTTCTATAGATACTTGACTATCTAGATATGTCGTTCTATAGATACTTAACTATCAAAATGTGTCGTTCTATAGATACTTGGCTATCTAAATGTGTCGTTCTATAGATACTAGAATATCTAAATGTGTCGTTCTATAGATACTTAACTATCTAAATGTGTTGTTCTATAGATACTTGACTAAATAAATGTGTCATTCTATAGATACTTGGCTATCTAAATGTGTCGTTCTATAGATCCTTAGCTATCTAAATGTGTCGTTCTGTAAATACTTGGCTTTCTAAATGTGTCGTTCTATAGGTACTTAACTATCTAAATGTGTCGTTCTGTAGATACTTGGCTTTCTAAATGTGAAGTTCTATAGATACTTAACTATCCAAATGTGTTGTTCTATAGATACTTAACTATCAAAATGTGTCGTTCTATAGATACTTGCCTCTCTAAATGTGTCGTTCTATAGATCCTTAGCTATCTAAATGTGTCGTTCTGTAAATACTTGGCTTTCTAAATGTGACGTTCTACAGATACTTAACTATCTAAATGTGTTGTTGTATAGATACTTGACTAAATAAATGTGTCAGTCTATAGATTCTTGGCTATCTAAATGTGTCGTTTTATAGATACTTAACTATCTAAATGTGTTGTTGTATAGATACTTGACTAAATAAATCTGTCATTCTATAGATACTTGGCTATCTAAATGGGTCGTTCTATAGATACTTGGCTATCTAAATGGGTCGTTCTATAGATACTTGGCTATCTAAATGGGTCGTTCTATAGATACTTGGCTATCTAAATGTGTCGTTCTATGGATACTTAACTATCTAAATGTGTTGTTCTATAGATACTTGACTATCAAAATGTGTCGTTCTATACATACTTGACTATCAAAATGTGTTGTTCTATAGATACTTGACTATCTAAATGTGTCGTTCTGTAGATACTTGGCTTTCTAAATGTGACGTTCTATAGATACTTAACTATCTAAATGTGTCGTTCTATAGATACTTGACTATCAAAATGTGTCGTTGTATAGATACTTAACTATCTAAATGTGTCGTTCTATAGATACTTGACTATCTAAATGTGTTGTTCTATAGATGCTTAACTATCTAAATGTGTTGTTCTATAGATACTTAACTATCTAAATGTGACGTTCTATAGATACTTAACTATCTGAATGTGTTGTTCTATAGAATATGTCAGTTGACTATGTTTGGTAATGGAAAAGGTAATCTTCATGAATGATAAAAAACAATCATTTTGTATTTAGGTTTACTGTTTTATGTCAGTTTAACCAGAGTTTCATGTGTCTGTTCCATGTTTTCAGGGCAACCAGCAGAACCAGGCTGTGGTGTTTGACAATAAGATCTGTGATTACATCAACCATATATTACGTGTGGGTGTGTTCAAGGGCTGTAAGGAGAAGGATGTAAGTATGACTGCTCACAAGTGACCTCCAAAGGTCAAGGGTATTAAGAGGGTGTGTCCTGACTTAAGCGGACACATCCATCGGTCAGATTGGTTATAAAAGAATTGTTTCTTACCAGTTTCAGGATTCAATTGATAACAGAGCAGGTTTAAGGACTATGTAACAGGGTCCATCACAACTTGCACTTATTATAAAGGCCGTCAAATACTTCAAACTTTGAACTAATTCAACATTCAAGAAAGGAATCAAGTGTATGCTTGTCTTTGTTATTTTCCACTACTTGTAGTCTAATAAAAACATGTTCAAATATGAAAAAAAAATCATGCATTGATTTGCACAGTTCAAAATTGATTGTTAAAGATATACAGTGTATTGATTTTGATTGTTTATATGGCCAGGTATACATCTTAAAGAGGTCAATTGCAACTCTGATCAAATCGCTGAGTGAGGAGAACCCACCAGATATGAATGATGATAATCCCATGGCTACACTGGCTAAGGTAAACCAACCATATAGGGTAAACGTAGAGGAGACACACCTCTCTGTTAACCTGTTTGTTAAAGTTACATTTTGATATTGTAAGCAGATTTTATTTGATTATAATTACAGCTGATTGTTTTTGTCTTATTTATTTTAATGTAATAGATAAAATACTGATATATTTATTGTTATCAATTATGCTGAGTTGTTTGATGTTCACTGTCATGCTGATCTACTTGTTATATTAGAAAGCCATCAATCTAAAGGATTCGGTGAGACTTATTATTATAAAATGCTAGTTATCTCCCATTGCATGGATGTAGTGTTGTACAACAGGTGAAAGGTATGGCCATATGTTCTCCCAGTTTAATTTTATCCTACATTTATGAATTGCATTTTTTTGTAAACGTGGAAAGTGTCAGATTTAAATTCCTTTCATATTTTTTTCTGTTGGCAGTATATATAGTTTTGCAAGTGAAATAAGAATGTTAAAACCAGTCATGGTGTTAGATATATGGCATGTGTGTCGACTCATTTCAATGCTATTTTGATATTATTTAGATATCTCAGTAGTGATAATATGTATCATTTTGACCCCTTGTTTCAGATTATCACATAAAACAAAATAAAAACATCAATACAGGGTTTCACCTTCTGTACACATTACACCACGGCATGCTTCCACCCCAGCTGTATTTCATGGCAACCATTGGTAGGAATGTGCTAGCACCTTTCCTGCTGATTATCAAATGTACATGTCAACCATATTCATTTGAATATAAAATGCTTCAATATAGTCTGTGATTGGCTACTGTCGCTGTCGCTGTATACACCTATTTACGATCATATCAGTAGTCTGTGATTTGCTACAGTGTCTGTCGCTGTATCCACTTATTTACGATCGTATCAGTAGTCTGCGATTTGCTACGGTGTAAGTCGCTGTATCCACTTACTAGGGCCCCGTATCAGAGATACGGGCGCCCTATAGTAATCACTCTGTCTGTCTGTATGTCTGTCTGTCTGTCTGTCCGTCCACAAATTTTGTCCCTGGCTGATAACTTTGGTATTTACTGACCAATGTACATGAAACTTGGTCAAGTTGTTAAGTTCACAAAAATACACATTGAGGTAAAAAGTCAAGGTCATTAGGTTCAAAGGTCAAGGTCAAATTTTACATCTTTCCACTGATGAACATTTTGTTATTACATTATCTAGCAAAGTTGATCAGAATTAAACAAGGAGTCAACTGACCAAAGGTCAAGGTCATTGGGTCAGGGGTCAAGGTCAAATTTTGTAGCTTTTCACTGGTGTATATATATAAGGTATATAAGGTTAAACATTTCACTATGACATTATGGAGCAAAGTTGTTCAAAATTAAACAAAGAGACACACTGAGGTAAAAAGTCGAGGTCAAAGGTCAAGGTCATTAAGTTCAAAGGTCAAGGTCAAATTTTACATCTTTTCACTGATGAACATTTTGTTATGACATTATGAAGCAAAGTTGATCAGAATTAAACAAGGAGTCAACTGACCAAAGGTCAAGGTCATTGGGTCAGGGATCAAGGTCAAATTATGCACCTTTTCACTGATGAAAATTTTGCTATGACATGATGAATCAAAGTTGATCAGAATTAAACAAGGGGTCAACTGACCAAAGGTCAAGGTCATTGGGTCAAATGTCAAGGTTAAATTTTGTATCTTTTCACTGGTGAACATTTCGCTATGACACTTTGAAGCAATGTAGCTCAGATTAAACAAGGAGTCAATTGACCAAAGGTCAAGGTCACTGGGTCAAAGGTGAAGGTTAAATTTTGTGTCTTTTCCTTGATGAACATTTTGTTATGACATTATGAAGCAATGTTGTTCAGAACTTAACATAGAGTCAACTGACCTTAGGTCCAGGTTACGGGTTTCAAAGGGTCAAGGTCAAGTTTTGTATTTTTACTGATGAACATTTTGTTATGATATTAAGGAGCAAATTGGTCGAAATTAAAGAATAAGTCAATTGACCAAAGATCAGGGTCACTGGGTTAATGGTCAAGGTCATTTGGGTCCAAAGGTCAAAGACAAAGTGGATCTCTGACTTTGACCCTGGCTCTTGATGGAGGAGGTATATAAGGTTAAATAAAACAAATTAAAGCTAACAAATGAGTATTGCACTGGTATTTACATTTCTGTTAGCCCAGCAAATATGGAGGTGGAAGGAAACAAAACTTAAATCATAGTACATGGAAAATTTATATTTTGCTTCCTTGCGATTCTTTTTGAAGTCCACATATCAAACGTCAAGCTCAGCTATATGGGCAGATTGCTTCTTGATGATTATGGGGGATATATTGCCACAAGACGGGGCCCTTACTGACCTGTCAGTGTTCTAGTTTACGATCATATCAGTAGTCTGTGATTTGCTACGGTGTCTGTCGCTGTATCCACTTATTTACGATCGTATCAGTAGTCTGAGATTTGCTACGGTGTAAGTCGCTGTATCCACTTATTTACGATCGTATCAGTTGTCTGAGATTTGCTACGGTGTAAGTCGCTGTATCCACTTATTTAGGATTGTATCAGTAGTCTGAGATTTGCTACGGTGTAAGTCGCTGTATCCACTTATTTACGATCGTATCAGTTGTCTGAGATTTGCTACGGTGTAAGTCGCTGTATCCCCTTATTTACGATCGTATCAGTAGTCTGAGATTTGCTACGGTGTCTGTCGCTGTATACACTTATTTACGATCGTATCAGTAGTCTGTGATTTGCTACGGTGTCTGTCGCTGTATGCACTTATTTACGATCGTATCAGTAGTCTGAGATTTGCTACGGTGTCTGTCGCTGTTTACACTCATTTATGATCGTATCAGTAGTCTGAGATTTGCTACGGTGTCTGTCGCTGTATACACTTATTTACGATCGTATCAGTAGTCTGAGATTTGCTACAGTGTCTGTCGGTGAATACACCAATTTACCTGGAAACGAGATGTGTATATTTAGTGAGATGTGTATCAATAGACTTATATATGTAATGACATGTAAGTATCAATAGACTTGTATAATTAATGACATGTAAGTATCAATACACTTGAATACTGTACTCGGAAGCTTTCACTCTGTGGTGTGTATAAATATTCCTTGTCATGATAAATTCACACTAATTACGTAGGCTTAAGTTCTACTGTGGTAAAAATTTCCTGGTACACAGTTACAGTATTTGGTCTGTGTAGTGTGTAATAGTCTGTCCCTACTAGTTTGTTACTGGTACACAGTTACAGTATTTGGTCTGTGTATTAGTCTGTACCTGCTAGTTGGTTACTGGTACACAGGTACAGTATTTGGTCTGTACCTGCTAGTTTGTTACTGGTTCACAGTTACAGTATTTGGTCTGTGTAGTGTGTAATAGTCTGTACCTGCTAGTTGGTAACTGGTACACAGTTACAGTATTTGGTCTGTGTATTAGTCTGTACCTGCTAATTGGTTACTGGTACACAGGTACAGTATTTGGATTGTGTAGTGTGTAATAGTCTGTACCTGCTAATTTGTTCCTGGTACACAGTTACAGTATTTGGTCTGTGTAGTGTGTAATAGTCTGTCCCTACTAGTTTGTTACTGGTACACAGTTGCAGTATTTGGTCTGTGTATTAGTCTGTACCTGCTAGTTTGTTACTGGTACACAGTTACAGTATGTGGTCTGTGTATTAGTCTGTACCTGCTAGTTGGTTACTTGTACACAGGTACAGTATTTGGTCTGTGTAATAGTGTGTACCTACTAGTTTGTTACTGGTACACAGGGACGGTATTTGGTCTGTGTAATAGTCTGTACCTGCTAGTTGGTGACTGGTTCACAGTTACAGTATTTGGGTGTGTAATAGTCTGTACCTACTAGTGGGTTAATGGTACACAGTTACAGTATTTGGTCTGTGTAATAGGCTGTACCTACTAGTTTTTTACTGGGACGCAGGTACGGTATTTGGTCTGTGTAATAGTCCGTACCTACTAGTTTGTTACTGGTACACAGTTACGGTATTTGGTCTGTGTAATAGTCTGTACCTACTAGATTGTTACTGGTACACAGGTACGGTATTTGGTCTGTGCAATAGTCTGTACCTACTAGTTTGGTACTGGTACACAGGTACGGTATTTGGTCTGTGTAATAGGCTGTACCTACTAGTTTTTTACTGGGACGCAGGTACGGTATTTGGTCTGTGTAATAGTTTGTACCTACTAGTTTGTTACTGGTACACAGGAACGGTATTTGGTCTGTGTAATAGTCTGTACCTACTAATTTGTTACTGGTACACAGGTACGGTATTTGGCCTGTGTAATAGTCTGTACCTACTTTTTTGTTACTGGTCCACAGGTACGGTATTTGGTCTGTGTAATAGTTTGTACCTACTAGTTTGTTACTGGTACACAGGCTCAGTATTTGGCCTGTGTAATAGTCTGTACCTACTTTTTTGTTACTGGTCCACAGGTACGGTATTTGGTCTGTGTAATATTCTGTACCTACTAGTTTGTTACTGGTACACAGGAACGGTATTTGGTCTGTGTAATAGTCTGTACCTACTAATTTGTTACTGGTACACAGGTACGGTATTTGGTCTGTGTAATAGTCTGTACCTGCTAGTTGGTTACTGGTTCACAGTTACAGTATTTGGGTGTGTAATAGTCTGTACCTACTAGTTGGTTACTGGTACACAGTTACAGTATTTGGTCTGTGTAATAGTCTGTACCTGCTAGTTTGTTACTGGTACACAGGTACAGTATTTGGTCTGTGTAATAGTCTGTACCTACTAGTTTGTTACTGGTACACAGGTACAGTATTTGGTCTGTGTAATAGTCTGTACCTACTAGTTTGTTACTGGTACACAGGTACAGTATTTGGTCTGTGTAATAGTCTGTACCTACTAGTTTGTTACTGGTACACAGGTACAGTATTTGGTCTGTGTAATAGTCTGTACCTACTAGTTTGTTACTGGTACACAGGTACAGTATTTGGTCTGTGTAATAGTCTGTACCTACTAGTTTGTTACTGGTACACAGGTACAGTATTTGGTCTGTGTAATAGTCTGTACCTACTAGTTTGTTACTGGTACACAGGTACAGTATTTGGTCTGTGTAATAGTCTGTACCTACTAGTTTGTTACTGGTACACAGGTACAGTATTTGGTCTGTGTAATAGTCTGTACCTACTAGTTTGTTACTGGTACACAGGTACAGTATTTGGTCTGTGTAATAGTCTGTACCTACTAGTTTGTTACTGGTACACAGGTACAGTAT